ATTGCTGGCTCAGTGGAGCAGCGTAACTGTTTGAAAACACCTGGTATTGCATAAATTCATATCCAGTGTCTTAATTTAATACGGATTTTATTAAATATTTTAAATTCTCATATATACGAGTCGAAAACACGTTTAACATTGTGTTAAAACTTCAACAAAAGGATCTTCATTTCGAAAGTATCAATAAATCCCAATAAAACCTGAAATTAAAATAGCTAAAGGTTCAAATTTGCAAACACTAAAAACCTTTGCAGCCGACAGCAAAAGCGAGTGCAGTCAGGACTTCTCTTCCTGCAATCGAATCGAACTCTCTACTCAACCGGGAACTATTCAAAGCGATATGGACGTGCATTCATTAGCATCTAGATTTTGGATGCAGTGTCGCATTCCACACTCGCACAGTGTATGTAAGTACATTGGCTGAAAAGGCAAGAAGTTATCGGAATTGTTACGAGGAGATAACACGCTGCTACACTATTTACTTCGAGCACACCTTAGTGAGGCACATACAGACACACATACGCAAACGTAATAAACAAAGTTACGTAGGTAAGCAAAACAAATGTTTCAGTGAGTTGACGTCTGGGCACACAGGACCAGAATTGTAACAAATGCGATAATAGTTCAAACAACAAACAGCAACTACTTAACTACCACCGAAACTGAACTAAACTAGCAAAATGAAGTCAAGTAAAAAGTTAAGTTTAGTAAGGTAACAACCACAACAAACACTTAACGTATGTATGTATGTACATCAACGACACAAACAGGAACAACAGCCATATCCATAAAAATAGCAACACTAACACAAAAACGACGACAACGACGACAACAGCGACAGCGAACAACGATAACATCGAAGGCAATCCAAGAAGCAAAAACAACAAAAATAAAATTACATTAAATTGGCTTCAATTATTGCATTAATTTGGGATCTGTGCTGCTTTCCGGCTAATCCGTTTTTCAGTTCGCCCTTTGCGACACTCCTTCGGCACTGCCACTTCCTGAAGCCGTCTTTGGCTGGCTGGCTCACTGACTCAGCTTGGTTCGGGTCGGGCCCCTACTACAATGTGTACCAAGCGCGTGTGATTACATACGCGTACGAAATATGTATTAATACATACATACATCTGGATGTACATGCATATGCAGTCCATATAGTCCATAAAGGGATTTTCGACGGCTGGAGCCGCATTTTTTTTTTTTACTTTTTATTGGCATTTGCACTGGGCATTACTTTAAGCAACAAAGAAACTATAAAAGTAAACGAACATAAGTTATTTGTCACACGACAAATGTATATACATATATCCATATGTATATATGTGTGTTTGTACGTCAGAATTCTAAACTAAAGACTTATCCAGGGTTTGAAAATAAAGCATGGGGGAATGTGAGTCATAGGGCGGAGTATATTCGAAATAATACCTACATACATACATACATATGTACATACTTACACAGTATGGTATTTACACACGTATGTACTTACATTAGGTTGACTCACGAAAAAAGCTTACTGTTTCCCCAAGCGAATCATAAGATTTGTGGCTACCACCAGAATACTTACATTTCAGGTGGCACTCATTTTTGTCAGTAAATGATAGACGAATGAAAAATTAAAAGTTTAACCAGTAATCGTCAGCAAAAAAAAAACGAATTATAAAAAATATATTTTATGATCCAATGATCGGATCTAAACCAGACTAGTATGGGACCACCTCTGAGACACTACCTTTCCGATTCGAAACAAAAAAATATATATTCCGACGAACTGATAACCTCCTCCTTTTTGGGAAGTCGGTTATAAATAAAAGAAGCAGCAACTGTTGACAGTGTCTTGGCCAATTTTCTTATTCAAGATAGCAAAGATATAGTCACTATACACGAGTAAAGGCGCGAGCTCAAAAGTTGCCCGCGAGAAAAGACACGTAAAAGAAAACTTCAGCGAAGATATGTAGACTCTTAACATAGTTGACGGCGAAGAAAGACCCGTAAACTTATTTTCGCGGTCGACTATGTTTGCTGGAGTAACAGTATGTATGTAAATTCCCCAAAGAGCTTTTGTGGAATGATGCTGAAGTGACATTCCTTGGCCAGTTATAAATCTGTGTTTACGCGTCTTTCTTCGCCGTCAACTAGGCTTTACATCTTTCTTCGCCGAAGTTAACGCGTCTTTTTTTGCTGTCAAAACACCAGCGCGCCTTTATTCATGCGTAGTGACGATATATACATACATATGTATTAGAGTGTTCGATTATTCGCCTTTTTCCAAAACCGGCTTTCGACTTATTCGCAAAATTGCAATTTGAAAAAAACCGCTTCTCGATTTCGAAATTAAGAAACACCGGATAAACCGGTTTTATTTTACATAGTTAAGATAGCTTTTATTTAGAAAAGAGCAAGGCAAAATAAATTTAAAGTTTAGATCAAAAGTAAAACAAATAAAAATCAATGAAAATTTTCGCTCGGTGTTATTTAACCTTTTTTTAATACTTTTTCCCATTTTTTACTTTCCTGGATTCGAGTAGTGCCCCTGCCATCGTGGCCGAGATGCGCCTACTGCCTGTCGGAAGGTCTATGGTTCAATTTCTGGCTCCAGCAACATCAAAAAAAGTTTATTCAAATAGCGGTCTCTCCTTAGCAGATAATGGCAAATATCCGAGTGTACTTTTGCCATAAACAAATTCTTAGGAGGTGTAGTAAAAGTTTAGATCTCTCGATTTGTGTCACAACTTCAAGAAGCAGAACCAGAATTGGAAGAGAAGCTCGACCAAACACGTAGAAAACGTTTAAGCGCCAAACATTCATTTATATTTAGAGTCTAATATGTTCAGTCCCAAATAACCTAGGATATAATTTCCAATACTAAGAAGGGGTTTCTCAAGACTATTTATCACGTAAACTGGAAAAAAAAACTTGAAAACTTCGAGCAACTCAAAACTTTTATTGAAAGGTCAAGATGTGTTTGAAATGACAAAAAAAAAAATGTTTTATTCGATATTCGCAAAATCTAGATTGCAAAAATAACCGCTTATAAATATCCAAAAGAACCGGTGAAACCCGATTTAGAAACACCGAGTCAATCATTCTACTACATATAACTACTTATGTACATATGCTTCTGTTATCATTGCTTCTTCCTTCGAAAGAGCCTAAAATCACAACGTTAGCTTTACCATGGGTTGTTTTTCAACGTTTTTCGATAGTATTCATAAGGCAAGCAAAATTTGTAGCCGTTTTCACAAGAAGCTTGTTAACTTAATCTCCCCTTTAGCATATTTTTGAGAACAAATTTTATGTTTAAATTGCGAATAATTTTAAAAGGGGACCTTATTCGTTCACCAGAGTAGGTTCAGAGCAAAAGATCTTCTTGTTGGGGAGATATTTGGCAAGTTCCGAAATAAGTCTTATATTTTTTGAACAGTATGAAGTTTTAAACTGTAGTTTTTTTTTTTTTTAATGAGCACAAGGAAATCCACAGATTGAAGGCAATAATTGCAGACTCATTTGAAAAATGTATGGTAAGAAGAGCACCAATATCAAAATCTTAAAGACATTTTTAACAGCGATAAAAACAAAATGAAAATTCCGAAAAACTGTATTTTTATATTTTAGTCAGTGGCAATTTTAGCGGTGGGACAAGCTTAAATGCATATCTTTTATTATTTGTATATGTTCTTAAATCTAGTTGACACTTGAGAAAGCAAGTTCTGTGAAGTTCAGTCACAAACAATTATGAGGGAGAAAATTATAAAAATTGTATAAAATCGCAAGTCTTTGTTAGAAAAAACACCTCAATCGGAAGTTAATTGCAATGACTTATTTTTTTAAATGATAAATTATACTTTTTCATTCATTTTTGAAAAAGAAATAAAATAAGTATTCGATATTAGTGCCTTTTTGGTTGTTTTTGGTGATATTTTCGTGTGAATTAAACTGATTTAAAACGGCATGTGCACCAAACGGTCTTATCATGTTGAACCTATTCATGTTGCACCACCTATTCACCTTAGCAACAACAAATTGAGGCTTGAAATATCAAAGCAACATCGCAAAAAAATTTAGAAAAAAGTTTTTTTCTTAACAGCGGTGGCCCTCGGCAGGCAATGGCAAACCTCTGAGTGCATTTCTGCCATGAAAACCCACTTCTCATAAAAATACAATCGCCGTTCGGAGTCGGCGTAAAACTGTAGGTCCCTCCACTTTGTGTGAAAACATCAAGGCGCACGCCACAAGTCGGAGGAGAAGCTCGGCCAAATAAATTTCAGCAGTCACATACCACGATTTTTGAATTTTAACCAGTTCGTTTGAGAAAATACTCCCTCGTTATATTATTCACATTTTCGTAAAACTGGCACTACGAATTTCAAGTATTTTGGCAGAACTTTTTGAAAAAAAGTTTAAGCAATTCTCTTACATTTATCTTTTCGTATCATTTGTTGTGGGAAAGAGTTTATAAACTTTTTTCATGAAAAACACGATTTTTAAGTGTATTTTGAACACAGCCAATCACACCAATGACTCTGATTTTTAATAAAATTTTTTGGTGAGTATTATCATATATATATTAGTTATATATGAAATTGATCAAATTGTATGATTTACTTGGGGAAAGAGGAAACGCTTTCTGTAAATAGAGCGAAGGGCAATTCAATGTATTAAGTACGCAACACGGCGCGCATTTTGTCGTATGGCATACATACAAAGTGGCTGCAAAATTTTTGAAAAATATAGAATACGAAAAAATTTTGCTAAGGAAAATTCTTCGAAGACTCAAAAATTATAAACAATAAACAATACACATAAAATAATTTCAGAATTTCGGGAATTTAGCCACAATATGTCAACAATTGAGCCAATGTAGTAGTTCGCAGACACATGGAAATTCTATGGAAATAATTCTATAGGCATACGCTCTCAACAGTTCTGTCTCAATATTTGTTTGGTCACTGTTTGTAAGTTTTATTTTAAATTTACTTAGTCGGAGTAGAACTCACCTCATTATTATAGCTAAGAGAATCTCTTGCGATAATAAATATGTATATAAATAATTATATAGTTTTGCACTTGGACTAATTAAGTTTTAATTTTTTTTTTTGTTTTCACCAATCGCTTGGACGCTTTGACTTTGAAGTGCCGCCGGCGTTCAAATTTCATTCTACGCGATTAAGCGAGTCGAACAAAAGCAACGTCGCTGCAGTTCACAATTAAACAATTCGTCACTCGTTTTATGTTTTATTAATTTATGCACAATACAATTATGTATTCTCACTATGAAATTAATGGCCTGTGAATTGTCACTAAGTACAATGCATTATTAAACGTTTTACAGCTTGAGCATAACATTTGATTCCGTTTCGTTGCTAAAATGCTTAAACGTTTTTATGCAGTACAAAATATGAACTTACGCTGTCCAAGTAATATGCATTCGGAGGCGTGTTGCATTAACTGACGGCGACATAACGCACTATGAACGTTGAACTGGAACTGGACGAATAGAGTTCTGTCGATCCAAGCGAATGGCTTCTTGGCGACTGTTTGGTATATTATTTAGGCGAAAGCGATTGCAATTTCAGTTGCAGCTGCAGCTGTTGTGCCGCTGCCGACGCCGCCGTTCAATGCGAAAGCCCAATTGCGAATGCGACACTAGCTAACGCGCCTGGCGACCGACCACTTTGTCTTATACTCCACTTCGCTCCACTACACATCACACGTATGCATCTCCATACACATATATATGTACATACAAACACATATGAACATTCATCCATGCAACTTGCGTGTACAATGAATGCTCTGCAGCGAAGTATTTGAGATGCCATACGAACCATATCAAACAATTTGTGTGAGTCTATTTCCTAAGCGCTCCACCAAAGTCATAGCTGCTCGCGAAAAATGTCTGCAATCGAAATTGCAAACGAATATTTTCCACCGAAAAACTGAATGGCAAAGACAGCGCACAAAATTGACGAACTGGCGAGTTACGCTGCATGGCACCGAATGGAATGCATTGGAGCAGTTAAGTTTGCTGTTACAGTTGCCTTCATCGTTAAACTGTAGCCATTTCGCTTTGGTTGTTTGGCTACCAAACACCAACTCCCTAACTGTAGCTTGTGACGTCCTACGGACCAACACGCCACCACTTGCCACCAGTGTCTGGAGTTACAAAGGCCCATGAAGTGGTTTGTAAATACTATGTGTGGGAGCCAAATGGAATGTTTGCAGAGGGTGGCTGAATTTTTCCAGCCAAAACATGGCTTAACTTTGGCTACCCAAAAATATTTCCGTTTATAAACTTTGTTTTATGTTGTTTTTGTAGCTGCTTGTACGGTTGGGCTGTTGCCAGTCGAAAAGTTCAAATTGAAATGAATGAATCAAACATCTGATCGGATAGTTGACCGATATGCACTCGCGAATTTGTGCCACCGCCATCACCACCGCCTCCGTCGCCGCCGTCGCCATTAAACCAACAACTGGCATTACTTTATTCATACATATCTACATACGTACAGCAAATTACACCACACTTCAGTCGGAAAGGTGCTCAGGATTGATGAGACCAATTGGCTGCATGACTGAGCTGTTCTCACTTTGTTGCCGCTGTTGAAGTCGTTGTTGTGTGGCAGTGCGGAATTCCATTGTTCGTTTGGTGTTGCAGGTGAGTACATAATAGGATATCGTCTGCTCCCGCTGGAATGCCAATACGAAAGTCGAACAAATGAGTAAAATGAGAGAGCGTGAACAGCAGTGTCCTGAGGCAAAAGGATTATTGGCGGATATTGGAGGTCAATTCACATACATGTACATATGTAAGTATAAACATTGTATTCAACGTCAATACTTGGGCATATGTGTGATGGTTGCAGTGCAACAGACTGCTCATTAAAATTGCAATATGATAACATGCCTGCATGTGCATTTACGTATGTATGTATTAAGTTTATGACGATGGCGTGTTAGGGATATTACTTTTTAAAATATGAAAACCAATTTTATAGAGACATGAAAAGCCTTAAAAGCCAGTACAAACTTCATTTAATTTATTAGTTAAAAGCGAAAAAAATAAAATGTTCAAATTAAAAAAAAAATGCATAAGAAATAAAATCATAACGCTAAGCCTTAAAAACACCACAAGCCACAGGAAAATGGGTCCATCGCTTAGTCTCAGGTTACGCTGAAAATGGTATTGTATCTAAGGTAACATTTTGAAGAGCATGGAGAATTCAGCCTCTACTGTAAATAATTTGTCTCGATAAGGTTTGATTTTAAAATTTCAGTAAAAGTTATTTTAATCAAGTAATGTATGTAAGCAAAAAACAAAACAGACTTCAATCCGAATACAAAAATTTAAGATTATCGTTAATTTCCTTTATAGAAATCGGTTAACGGTGTCCAAAGTTATGCGGTTACAAAGAATAAAAAAAAATTTCCCACGAATTGAAAACTTTTTTTTTGTGAAGTCTGTTAATAATTTATGAAATTTAAAATTAAAATCGTAGGGGAATATAATAAACTTCATATCAATTGAAAAGTAATATATGTATGCATGTGGGTATATCGTTGCTACCAAGTCAAACTATCGAATGTGCAAAAATGTGTCGTTTTAGTTACGATACCTTGTGCATACGTTTATAATGATATACATACAGGTTGGCAAATCGTCAAATTTCCAGTCTTATTAGGAGCAGAGTATACTGGCTTTAGCAAAGTGTCGAATCCCACACCTTTTTCTAATGACAACAACATTTTTTACAACAGTTTATTTGCTCTTCCGGTAAATACCCATTTTCACGTTCGATAATTTGACATGGTAGCGACGAAATTACCCAATCCCGATTTTTTTGCAAATTGATTAAATCGATCGCTTGAAATCGACCTGAAATTTGCATTTGCGCAGAGAAATTTAGGCCTATGTTTAGTAGTGTGAATGCTATTGAATGAAAGACTTATTGCCAATTAAATATAATAGAAAATCAAATTGTTTGAGTTACTGTCTAAGTTTATATCAACTCACTCTATTGTTTTTAAGTAAAATATACATATGTATGAAGCTCAAAATTTAACTATGTCGTAGCTACGCCATTTTGATAAATTTTTTTTAAAGCTGCTGGATTTTTTTCTAAATACAAACCTGGGAAATTAAGCGTACCTATATACATGGGAAAATATCGCAGAGTTTGTATCTTTCGAAAATATCGCAATATCGTCCGATTTCAAAGTTGGAATGAATTTTTGAGTGGGACTAACAACATTTTCATTGCCAACCTGAGGGTCAATTCTCGTTCTGCATTATTTCGAAGTGATAAAAATAACACTTTTACACCGCATTTATTTCGGGATTAATTTTCTACTTTTCACTTCACCTTACGATACCGCAGAGGAAAACGTGTTCCAAATTTCGAAATTTCATTTAGATTCAAATAAAAAAAGTTGTTACCGTTGCCTCATACAAGAGGAACATTGTGCTCTAGAACAATGGACTCATCAGTAGAAAGATTAAAGCGTTGCTTTGTTTTGATTGTCGTTTGATGTTTACNGACTTGGGTATATGTGTGATGGTTGCAGTGCAACAGACTGCTCATTAAAATTGCAATATGATAACATGCCTGCATGTGCATTTACGTATGTATGTATGTATGTATGTAATAAGTTTATGACGATAGCGTGTTAGGGATATTACTTTTTAAAATTTGAAAACCCATTTTATAGAGACATGAAAAGCCTTAAAACCCAGTACAAACTTCATTTAATTTATTAGTTAAAAGCCAGAAAATAAATATGTTCAAATTTAAAAAAATACCTTAGTCTCAGGTTACGCTGAAAATGGTATTGTATCTAAGGTAACATTTTGAAGAGCATGGAGAAGTCAGCCTCTACTGCAAATAATTTGTCCCGATAAGATTTGATTTTAAAATTTTAGTAAAAGTTATTTTAATCAAGTAATGTATAAGCAAAAAACAAAACCAACTTCAATCCGAATACAAAAATTTAAGATTATCGTTAATTTCCTTTAAAAAAAGAATCATAGAAATCGGTTAACGTGGTCCAAAGTTATGCGGTTACAAAGAATACAAAAAATGTCCCACGAATTGAAAATAATAATTTATGAAATTTAAAATTAAAATCGTAGGGGAATGTAATAAACTTGAATTGATATGAAAAGAAATATATGTATGTGGGTATATCGTTGCTACCGATTTTTTACAAATTGATTAAATCGATCGCTTGAAATCGATCTGAAATTTGCATTTGCGCAGAGAAATTTAGGTCTATGTTTAGTAGTGTGAATGCTATTGAATGAAAGACTTATTGCCAATTAAATATAATAGAAAATCCAACTGTTTGAGTAACTGTCTAAGTTTATATCAACTCACTCTATTGTTTTTAAGTAAAATATACATATGTATGTAGCTAAAAATTTAACTATGAAGTAGCTACACCATTTTGATACTTTTTTTTAAGCTGCTGAATTTTTTTCTAAATACAAACCTGGGAAATTAAGCATACCTACATACATGGGAAAATATCGCAGAGTATGTATCTTTCGAAAATATCTTAATACCGTCCGATTTCAAAGTTGGAATGAATTTTTGAGTGGGGCTAACAACATTTTCATTACCAACCTGAGGGTCAATTCTCGTTCTGCATTATTTCGAAGTGAAAAAAATAACACTTTTGCACCGCATTTATTTCGGTGTTAATTTTATACTTTTCACTTCACCTTACGATACCGCAGAGGAAAATGTGTTCCAAATTTCGAAATTTCATTTAGATTCAAATAAAAAAAGTTGTTACCGTTGCCTCATACAAGTGGAACATTGTGCTCTAGAACAATGGACTCATTAGTAGAAAGATTAAAGCGTTGCTTTGTTTTGATTGTCGTTTGATGTTTACCAATGGACATTTTTGATAAATAAATGCGCTGGGTTAAGAATAGCTTAGTTGCGAGGCTAAAAACATTAGGGGTATTCGCGAAATCTTGCACAACCCTTGCACTGTGCTTGATTACACGGTTTGCAAAGCTTTTCCGTAGGAACCCGATTTTACCGTGCAACCCCTGCAATCCTTTCGACCTGCAAGGGCTTTGCAAAACCAAGCGAACCCTCTATTGTATCAGCACAAAGTAATAGAAGCGCTGTGTTGCTTTGCGTTGATCCAATAGTTAAGCTGCATCACCTTGAGTTAGCATGGGTACCTGGTCAGAGANTCGAAATCTTGCACAACCCTTGCACTGTGCTTGATTACACGGTTTGCAAAGCTTTCCCTTAGGAAACCGGGTTTACCGCGCAACCCGTGCAATCCTTTCACCCTGCAAGGGCTTTGAAAAACCTAGCGAAAACTCTATTGAATCAGCACAAAGTAATAGAAGCGCTGTGTTGCTTTGCGTTGATTCAATAGTTAAGCTGCATCACCTTGAGTTAGCATGGGTACCTGGTCAGAGATGAATATAGTGTAATGAGACGCCGGACTGTCTCGCGAGAGAGGTAGCCGCCATCACTTCAATTGGACCAGAGACGTTCCTAGGAGTAGGTCCTAATACTCTTAAGAAAGAGCTCAGAAAGCAGAGGAATGCACGAAGTGATCTAAAATCACGTGGCTCAGTAGAACTGCGGCAGGCAAATTGTCTACTAGGAGAGTACAACAATAAGAGATTCCAAAACTTAATTAACCTTCCAAAGGAGAAACTCAAAATACTAACAGGTTTCCTTCAGGACTCTGCAGACTAATAGGACAGCCATATAAGATGGAAATATGTTAATATATTAAGTAACACGCAATCAAAACACATTCTTAAAATCCAGTCGATTTAAACAAAGAAAGCGAAAAAACGTAGGCATAGAACACTATCCTCAAAACTCAAAAATATAATTGTTAATCTCAGCAGACAATATCAACCCTCAAAATTAATTTGGGCAACCGTGTCTCTTTTACACCAATGGGTGTAATCACATATGCGAATATCCATCTCCATCTCCATCTCCAACATAAAACAAATAACACTTTTTCTACACATCCTTGTCTTCCCATAGACAATCGAATATGAGCACACAAA